AAAGGATAAATCAGAGAAACGGATCAGTCAGTGTGTTTTTTCTTTGTTTTATTGCTCAGCAGTAAAAAGTACAGTGTATACTACAGTACAAAAAATACATAATGTTGAACACTGCTCCACCGTGCCACTGAACGTTTTGTAAAATATCCACTTTTGAGCGTGCAAAACAAGAAGCCCGGCTGTGAGCATCCAATGCAGGAAATATCAATAGGTTTAACCGTGTTATTCAACATCGCCCTTTGAATCGGTGATTTCCGAACAACATCTCACAATGCAGAAGATCTTTAGCGACGATAGAGGCAGGCAGCATTGATTATTGAAGAAAAACTGCAGCAATGCAAAGTAAAAGAGATGATAGAAGGACCACAGTATCAATAATTAAAAAACAAAATATTCAAACGCACTTCTTTATAATTAAACTGCCTCTGTATGTGCTCACAGTAAATATTCAGCGTACATTATTTAGTTCATTGTTTTTATTGGTCAACATTTTTGACAGCCTCTAACACATACTATGTGGTCCAGCAACTAATTCACAATCATTCAACATTTCAACAAACACAGTTTGCATTGATGGACAAACACATTATTTATGGAGGGAGACATGTACAGTAGCAAGGTTGGTCTAATTGTTTCCTACACCGCTGAGAAACTCTTTCTCAAACTGGGATATAACCAGTAGCCACTCCACAATACAGACAAGTGACAGACAGACATATACAGAGGCACAGACAGACAGACACAGAAAAACAGATAAAACTGAGCTGAAAGTGATACAAAGTCTTGTTCGACTTAAAGTAACAGTGATATTTGGTGAAGGGGGGCAGCACATTTGAACTCATCCGTCAACACTTTACTGCACACTCACACAGTTTGCTTACACACACACACACACACACACACACACACATACTGATATATAAAGGGCCAACATAAGGAATTAAGACATCTATGTGGTCCCTCTTAAGAGAAGCTGGTGACACATGAGGGGGAAAATCAGTCCAAACTGCAGGATTTAGACCCCAAATTAACCAGTTTTCGAGCTCAAATTAACCATTAAAATCAGGGCCCATATTCACCAAACTGCTAAAAGTTCAATTTTGGACACACGTAAAAGTAAAACGTCTTCACTTTTATTCTCAAAATAAAAGGTTATTGTCATATTTCTTATGACTTAACAATGCTCTTAAATCTCCAGAGGTGTCGGGTAACAACAACAATAAAGCTGGCATTGATTTTGTTTGCAATCGCTTACATGCATCTTCATTGTCTTTACTTGTCAATGTGGTACTAAATTCCCCTTATATGATTTCTCTGATGTACCTTGTCTACCAGCAGTTAACTTTCCAGTTAACATTTTGTTTCCATTTCATCTATCTTATTTAATCCTTTCAAAAACAGCTTCAAACCTGTAATAACCTTCTTTTTTTTTGGCCACTTGGGGGCAGCAGAAACAAGTTGTGAACACTGACATATCGTCACCTTTTAAGTTTAATTGGCGAACAACATTATCAATCATTTGGAGTCAGGTTTATCACCTGATGAAAGTCCAATATTGACTCTCTTTTAGCTCTGTTTTTGGTCTCCACCAACTTCTGACGGAAATATCTGGCTCTTTGACTGTTAAATGCACAACTGCGCTCACCAGCAAGCCCTAGCTGTGTCTGTCGTTTGGTGCTGACTGATGCGTTTTTAGAGCCTTTTCTCTGAAAACAGCTCCCTGCTACAGCCGAGAAATGACACTATGAAAGTGGTGAGAGTGAAATAAAACTGCTAAACAATGAGCTCAAACTCGCTATAAA